TTGACGCACTCGCTCGGCTTTCAATGTTAATTATACTTGTTGGGCATAAGCCCCGCCTGCTTCTGCTCCTGCTCCTGGTCCACCCACCGCCCACTCCCAATGCCACTCATTATGCAGCTCATATAGGATCCATGGAGCATATAAACCATATAAAAGTGAGCATGTTTTCCACAGATTCTTCTTCCTGCCACCCGTTCCGAGTGTGCTTGTAAAGCCATTTGCTGGCATTTGTGTAGGCCATTTTGTTATTTTTGCATCTTTCTCATTTCGCCTTCAGGCGGTTTTCCATTTTTTGTGTTAGTTTGTTCATATATATGTATGTATGTTTTTTTTTCGGTCCAACCTTTTCAGCGTTTTATTATAAATATGAAAATTAATCACTCAGCAAGGACCCAAGGAGTAGGCTTGGCCACCCGAAAATTTGTTGGCCATTCGAAATGGTCCTTTAATTAGCTCATTTCGAGCGGAATGTGAAGCTTGATTACCATTAACTTGCCTTTCATTTAGGGTTCAGGATGTCGAAAAAAAGTAAATGATATATATTTTTAGGAAGGGTATGATGAAAGGGTATGATATTGAAAGTTAAAATTCTGTAGGCTTGAAATTAATGCAATAAAATGGGCCACTGATTTCTGCTTATTTGCATTAATATTCCTTAAAGTCTTCCATTTATTCTAGGGTACCCCCTATTCTCTGTGAACCAAATCGCATTTCCTTTTCCTTTTATGTGGTTTCGTGTGAAGAAACAACAAAAACAAAAGTCGTTTCCCAAAGACCTTTCCGTCTTTCGCCTGGGGGCAGCAGCTACCATCATACCCTTATTGTCAATGTGGCACTGTGTCTCAGACTTGTTTATTTGCCTTTTAATGGGATGCGCTTGGCGTGTTTTTATTTTTATTTCACGCTCACAACACGCGATGCATACGCAATTCCAACGCCTCAAATTAGGCTATGAAATTTGTACGTTTGGTGTTGGTAATGAAAACTATGCCAGCCGACGCGGTCAAAAAAAAATCCAATGCAGTACTTTTGTCAAATCATCCAAAGGATCTGGGTAGGAAGGATACAAAGTCAAAATCGAAACGGGGGCAATCCACCACAGTCACACAGAGACAGACCAAAAACCAAACTCAATTGGGCATGGACACACCGTCTGCACGCGCTCTGACCAAGTTTTTGGTTTTATTTTCATTTTCATTTGCCAAACGGGGCCACTTGAATGCGCAATGAGGCTGGCTGGCTTGCTGGCTGGCTGGCCGGCGCGGACACCCTGCCGGAGTCCGAATAATAAAAAAAAAACCAACAAGCTCCAAAGGACAGAGCGGAGTGTGGCCCTTGCACAACTTTTTACTTTTTATTTCACTTCTGCATAAATTCAGCGGCGCTATCCGTTTATTTTTGTTTCAGAATTTAAGCGATTTCCGTGACTATCGCCGGAGATTTGTTGCCACAGAGAATCTGCAGCCGAAAGCTGCTCAAAATTCATAAAACGAAAAGGGCCAAAATGTGGGTGATGGTGGATGGTGGGCGGGAAAGTGCAACAGCCTCACTCGAGCTTATTGTTGACATTTAGCGCCAGAAGCTCACTCCCTCATACTCCGGCTTCCCTTGAATATCCTCTCCAACCGCAATCCTAGTGTTAATTAAGCTTACAGACCGCCAGGACCGAACAGGACAGGCCAGGACCGGCAGGAAAACGTTGCATAAAGTTGTTAAGTTTTTGTCAAGCCCCTCGGCCCGCTCATTTGCTGTTGTTTTAGCTGCTGGCGGCTTAATTATTTTCATAAAATTTTTTCACATTTTTCCCTCGGTTTTCCGCTCATTTTGCATCTTTGTGTCCGACCGATGTTGGCTTTTCTGGTCGTCTCATTAAATTAAATCAATTAATTTTTCTACCACTTTTTTATACATATTTTTTGTTGCATATTTTATTGTTTAATTTTTTTTTTATCTATAAGTGCAGCCGGTCATTTAAAATTGTAATGGTTGGACACACAATTATAAATTTGCATATGAAATTCGATTGCAACATGAATTTGTTCTTTATAATTGATCGGAATGAGGAATATGGCTTGCGGAATTTATTAAATTTTATTCAAATATTCGTAGAGGCTGCTGAACTCTCAGGTTGCAAGTCTGAGGTATATACTCTTGATTTAATAATAATTGTGGCTCTAATAAATAAATCAAGCTACATAAACTATTTAATTGCATTAAACTCACGAGCATTTAATCACTTGGTTTAAAATGCATTCAAGAGAGTAATTTTCTGGTATTCCGATTGAAAAGATTATTCCAATTTAATTTAATTTCATACATTTTTTGCTTTAAAAAAATAAAAAGATTTAAAATGGACAAGAGATTTAACTTTTCGGATTTTGTTTTGATAAGCTCCTAAAGTTGGTTTGTTTGTGCCATAAAAACATGCATGCAGTACATATATGGCCGTTTCTAGTTGCTTTTTATTGTGCTTTTGCTGTTTAATGCGATTCTGCCGGTTCTAGGGGGAATTTCTGGTTTTATTTGATTTTAATCTGCAGTCATGGGGATTTTTTCATGTCATAGAGAACAAGCTTAGATTATCACCAAAACAAATGTGCTTTCTCAAACAAAGAACCCCCTTTTTGAAATAACAACTCTCATAACCAGTTAGTTTTCATCATGTTTTGGAACATTACTCATACGCAGTGTATTTCGTATAAAGGAAATAAATCTAAAAATAGTCATAGCATATACACCATGTGTGCAGAGAACGTGGAGCAATTTAAACGGCCTAGATTTCTTGGACAGCTGGCCGAACGCGCCGTCGGCTCCCACTCAGAAACTATACACGTCAATATACACACACATAAAAAACATTCACAAATTCTCAGCCAACTATAGAAAAATCTATTTTTCAATTATGTGAACATGCCGGGGTCTTTCCCCGTCCGAAAGACCGCCCCAGCTTCAATCACTTCACACCTCTGCCGCTGACCCGCATCGTTATCACTTGGGTGCCGACTACATAGTCCAAGTACTACATCTCTCTTAATTCCCACTCAACCTGTTTCATTTGAATTGCTTCTTTTGGGTCTCTTGACCTTTTTTTTCAAATAATCTACCGCAGCCCACTGGAGAAACCAAATTTTCTCACGAAGTTTCTGCGGATATCTCCGGTTGGGCTGTGTTGATTGCTTTAATTTCAGTTTAAATATTTGTTCTCGCCCATTTGTTTACTTGTCTGGACACTTTTGGCACTTTTGTGTAAATATATGCAAAAACATTGCCCAAGGTTTTATGACAAATTAACATGAACAATTATGTGGAAAATTGATGGAAAACAAGTTGTTGGCTTGACTCTAAAAATGTGTGTTTGTAATTGCTTACGTATTTGCATATCAGCATGCAATAAATTAAGTTTAATTATTATATTTTTATTAAATTAAATAATTTATCCGGCGAATTAGCATTTTATTAGATAAATTGTATTGTTATTTTTTAGATAAAATATATATTCGTTTGTGGAATACTCTTCCACTTCACACTGATCACTCTAATGGCTTCTTTTCAGCTCCGTTGAACAGCCTGCCACATAGCCACACAAAAGTTTTTCCAATTAGTTTAATGCATCATTTTGTCATTTCGGCAGCCAGCCAAGGATGCTTCACATATTATATTCATAAATGCACAACATATATATTCGAGAGTACGTATATTTTTGGACAAGTGCAAGCCAAGATTTTCAGCCACTTCATAACACTCCGAGCAGAATGTCTTTGCCTGCATTTCGTTTTAAAAATGTGTTATTCCTGCTCCATGTATTATGGCTTGTTCTGGATGCTGTTTTGTTTTCATATAAACACTCAAAGTATTGCAGCCACAAAAAAAACGGCCAAGAAATATTTTGCTGGCAAAGTTTATTTTGTGTTTTTTTTTTTAGGTTTTAGTATTCTTTCTACTGTTGGCTTTTCCTATTTTGTGGCGTAGACAAAACGGCGGCGAGCACGTTTCCGGTTGCGAACGGCATCGGAATTATAACAAGTTGTAAATGAAAGGCAGAAATTTGATTACATTCGATGTCAGAAGTCGGAATGAGAATTGCAGAACTGGAGAATTTGAATTGGGGGGAACGGTCACAGATGGGGAGACAGACAGATAGTGGAGATCGCTGCCTCAGGCAAAGTGTAAACGTATCTGCCTGCTGAGCACCGAAAATGTATCTTAATCCGTCTCCCCATCTATCTCGGGGCACGCGAACGCCACTTACGCTAAACTCCCACACACAATCGGCGACGTAAACTGGATTTCAGCGCGACGGAGACTCTTTGACGTAGCCGGATCCGGGGACTGAACCGCACGTGGCGACTGAGAAGCGGCAACTGAACTCAACCACAGCTGGAGAACTGCCAGCTACCCAGCCAGCCAGACCGAAAACCACTCACAGTGAGTGGAATGGCCAGCGAATTGAGTGAAAATGACTACCGGCGAAAGAGCAGAGCAAAACAAACCAGCAAAACACTCAAAGAGAGAGAGAGAGAGAGAGCTTTGATGCAACAGGTAGTGGTGCTGGTCATTTAACCTCGTTACTTCCTCTGTGGGTCACACGGTGCGTATGTGTGATATGGGGTGTGCGTGTGCTCGTTCGGGGCGACGGCAAATCGCCGACAAATTGTTTTGGAATGTAGGATGCTGTGACTGCTCATGACTTGGATTACGGGTCGAGTTTGTTTCCATTCCTCTTGCTCCCTGGCCACCCACTTTGGTGTGCCACAGTGCGTATACGTAATTTGCGCTCGGCTTTTGCGGCTGAGCAATTTTTGTAACGGGAGAGTGTGGGGGCGGAAAAGTTTGTCCATAACTTTGTGTTTTTACAACTCTGCTTTGTTTTGCTATTTCTAGAATTTAAGAAGTTAAGAAGTGTGGAGGATATATGTAGTTGTGATATTAAATATTAAACTGCTTTTTGTATTTGATTTCTGTAATAAAAGATAGAATACTTCTACTTCAAAACAAGTCTATACCATTTGATTCATAGATATATTGAACAATTTTGAATTTAAACAACAAAATACATAGTTGAAATTATAAAAATTCAAATTGATTATTCCTGTTCGGTAGCAGGTTCTTCGGAAACATTTTCTTCTCCAGTAGGCTCTTCTATCGAATCTTGTTCATCCAAATCTTCTTCATCCGGTCTTGCCAACAACTCCCTGATTAGTTCCGGGGTGAGCTCAGCTAACAATGACAAATTGGCTACAATTGCTGTTAGTTTATTCAAAAGGCGGCGAGCATGTAATTCCGATTCCGAATTGGTCAAAGAATTGTTGACAGCTATCTTAAGTTTTGCCAGTTCTATTTGCAGTTTCCTGACTTCCTCAATATACTCCCGGGATTTTATCAGAGAGATGGCAATACGACGTGCCAGCTCCTCTTGCTCTATCCGCGCGTTCCTAGCATTCTCTATATTGCAGCCGAGGATCATGGAACGGGTTTCTATATCCCTATTCATCTTGCCAATATGTATAAATCCTTATAGAATATTGTAGTGAAGTCTCCAAGTATTTGTACTGTCCCGTAGGGAAGTGGGATTGTACTGAGATTTGTGGAGGACAGTAGATTATTTTCATAGCCTACTTGGATGTGACGATAATTAGATGATTGACATCAATTATAATAATTATCGGAATAAGCCGATTAGCTGGCTAATGAATTAAACATTATGAGAATATTCCGGACCATGCCTCAGGCGACAAATCAATGTCAAAATAAACATATAATTATCATCATTATCCCCCTAACTGCCTGGCGGCCCACAGGAGCACGACAATTTTGTGGCAGCCTCTTTTGCTGGGCGCCCTGGCGGCTTGGCGGATGCTCGGTGTTGCATTCATAATTGATTGTCCGGAGGGACGAACGTGTCCTGGGCAGGATAAGCACTTAAGCTAAATGAAGGCAGACGGCTTAATTTTTATTCGACATTCGCTGGCAAAAGGGATTTCTAAGCCGCTCTGCCAATCTCTTTATCTTCATCCTTTCTGTTTAATTTTTAAATGTGCGAAAGTAGACGGAAAAAAAATGCTCGGTAATTGGTCAAAGTCCTTGAATTTGGTCAAGAGCAGAGAAATTCATTTTTAATGAGAAGCAAATACGCTTCGTCCTAATTGGATTAATTGTGAATCCTGCGGGCTTCTGCGAGCTCCTGTGTGAGTCTTGCGGTCTAGGTCAGTGTCAATATGGCAGGGATCCTTTGAGGATGAGACATCCTGGCATTGTCAGCCAGATGAGGGTTAAATTAGTAGTTCGTGCTTCTATTTTGAAATCAGAAAGTTAGATGCCAGCACAAAAGAAATGGGTCAAGAACACTTAAGCTTCAGTTAAATGGCATTTTGTGATAAATGTGAAAATTATTCAGAGACATAATTTCCCAAAAGTTTTTGGCAATAATATTCCTCATAAAATCACGAAATCATATTTAACTAGTTTCTTAATTAAAACGAACACAAACAGACTTTCAGCTGAAGCCCCAAAATGCATCATTAATTTGCTTTTCATTGTGCTTAATTCTCCCTCAGTTTTCTTCCTTTTTGGGAAAATCTTTGCCTAAATGCCAAATTCTATCAATTTGCCATTCAATCATTCAACTGACGCTGCTAAGCCGACTATGCAAATTGAAGTCAAGAGGCATTAAGTTCGATCCCCACACTAAAACGCTACTCCATGACACAATTGTCAGGGTTTTATCGGCTTATTCCTATGCATGAGCACAGACACTCAGAATAGTCTCTGCCACCATAGCCCACACACCCACATGAAAGGCGGGGGGCTCTTATCGGAAACTAAAAAGCTTTGCCAATTTTCCGGAGCTCTCCTTTTTTTTTTTGCCTTACTGCAATGTAGAAATCATGTGAATACATGGAACCATTTGTCCGAAAATCTATCTTTTTTTGACAGAACTACAAGGAAAGGATGTCTGTTTCAGCTGGCAGAGTTTAAATACTCTTTAAGTTATTTAAAAATGGTTGCTTTTATATTGCTTAACTTAAACCAAAGATATAATATACACACGCCATGAAAACATACCAAAAGTTATCCAAAATATCAAATAAAGTTATATGTTTAAGCCACTTTAATATTTAATAGATTTTTAGTATTCCTTTATTTACTTATTCTCAATTTAAAATGTAAACACCCTAGAAACTACCAAGTCCTTAATTGACTCGGAGCTTATGTTACTCCATCAAAGTAGACAATCTTTAAGCCCTAAAGCACAAGGTTAAAGTTCGAGTCACAGATATTTCGTCTCGCAAAAATAAAGATGAAATTTAAAGGAAAAAAAGGACAAAATAATTGAAAGCAGCTTGATTGATTGGTTAACTATGGTTTTGGCACTCTCTCGAATATCTACCACCTTTCCCTCGTTCTGTAAACTTTTTGAAATTGATGTGCGGTGAAAGGTGATTTATTGCAGGATGGTGTGAGGGGAAAGGACTTTCTCTTGATTTCTCTGTCTGTGTTTGCTTATCAAGTTTCGGTTAGGTTTTTATTATGCGACACATAAATTTTGTTGTATTTTATGTTGTAATTCAATCGAGGCAACCTTTTTCAGCTTTTAAGCATAATTGATGATGGATACTGGGCACAAGATGGCAAAGGCCATCACAAAAAGGTTGAAACAGGTCAATAGAAAAGATGACAGTTCATGCCAAATTAAATTCGAATCAAATCAATATAAATAAATATATTTCTTACTCACTGTTCTCTTCAAAAAGGACCAAATCAGTAGACTCACCTAAAAGAAAATAAATAAGATTCAGTAAATTAATTTAAAATCACTGGCTTAAATTTTTAGTTCATCGTGGCTTGAGTGGCTGCTATGAAATATTGTTTTTGTGGAAATTTTCACACTTGACTAGACATTTTCTATTAATTTTTGTTGGCCAGAGGAGGATAAAAATGCCTGTGATGTCCTGGATATTGCCTGGAAGTTTTTCTCATTATTCTGACTATTAACTGTCTTTCGACAGGCTTACAGCCTTGCTTGCCAATTTCCGAAGCTGCTCGCCCCAACTATGCCAACTACTTAAGAAAGTTTCGTGCCTGGCACTTCCCCCAGTGGCATAACACCTATCATTTGCATCTGTCCTGGATTCTGTGTAGCCCCGCACTAGCTCCTCTTTCTAGTATTTTAGCCACAAGGATGGTGACTTTCCCCGGTCCAACTACCGCAAGCCAAACACGAAAAGTTCGATTGCATTTTTGGTGGCACAGTCGCTCGCTCACTTGGCAGCTCGTCCCACATGGCGGGCACGTGTTCTGCGGCATGCCACCGCGTCATGCATACGCCAAGTTGACTAATTAAACTAATACCCTCAACCGCCTCGATGGCTGAGCAAACACCTTGAGATGGAAATTATTTTGAATCCAACCAGCTATCCCCATCCCATATCTGTGGGGAAATGTTTCCGCGAGCGCAGCACGAAAGTCTCATACATTTCACTTATTTTTGTGGTTCAACTTTTGCTGTGATTTCAGTTTCGCTTCTTTTTGGTAACCATTTTTTCTCCGGTTTTTTTCACCGCTTAGCAATTTAATTTTTGTGCTTTCCTTTATATATTATTTATATATATGTATACATTTTTTTTGTTGGCTTTTCCGCCGTGTTTGCGTAGCTGAAATTGTTTTCCATTTTCAGGTTTTCCCACCGCCCGCGGGGAGCTAGATGCTGCGAGGAGTCAGCAGTCAGGAGTCAGGAGTTCAGGAGACCCAGGAGCTCCAGTTTCAGAATTCGGTGGTTGGATGGGGCAGTTGGGAGCCACAATACTGGGACTCCCTGTTGGGTATCCATTTCAAGTGGCACTGAAGCCACAACCTGTGCGATGATAACGAGTAAGTGCTGCTCTGGGCATTGCGAATTGCATTGGGTTTCCCACAAATTTATGCAGCTTTATAGGGGGCTGTTTAAAAGTTGGAATGACTTTCCGTCACTGTCGGGATAACATAAATAATCGAGGTTTTTTGGAGAGATTATATGGGGTTTTTTATTGGGGTAATTGATATTTTTTTCAAGGCTTGAAATAATATTAAAGCCAATAGTAACTAGTATTTGTGTCCAAAAAATAAATTATACGAGCTACCCTCGCTGGTTAATAAGCACAGCATGCAAATCAATTCCCGGTCATAGTCGGGCATGTACCAAAACCAATGGTACTCTTGGAGCCCAGTTAGTTGAACCTTACCGACTGGTGTCAGAGCAACTGGAACCGCAACAAACGTGACGAAAATGAAACCAACTGTGAGTTTAATGGATAGAACATCTGGCAATTATCAGGTAAATTAGAATTTATGGAATTCTTTGGCAATGTGAGAGTATTTTAGTGAAAATTTCAAACAGGTCATGATAACATCGTTACTGTTGCTATTATCGGCAAAACTATCTGAAAGTTATGACGAGAGAATGTGGCACATTTCCTCCGATGTAAGACCCCTGCCCAGATCAACCATGAAGAATTGCGATGATTACAATGATGTCATAGGATGGATAACCTATCAGATGGAGATTAATGGAAAATTGAAAAATTTTCAGAAAAATTTGGGAATTCTAAACGAGTCCCTTAACGAAAAAGCATCTCTGAAAAATTGCTGCTTTTACGAGAACAGGACTATGGAGATAATAATCAATGACATTAATAAAATTTCTAGAGCCAATGGCAACCAAGATGGAGAGCCTTTAAAGCCAACCGGAGACATGGGCAAAGATCTGGATAATATTTTGCCCAGAATGAAGCAAATAGTTTCCAAAGGATTCAAAAGTTGTTGTAAAAATCTTCAAGAATTTATGAAGAAACTTGAAGAAGACTTACAGAAGCAGTTGGAAGATCTTAAAAAGAAACTGGAATCAACCACTGACAATTCCAAGGGTAAAGAAGATCTAGAGAAGAAACTCAAAGAGCTGCAGGATCATTCGAACGAGCTTAAGGATCGTTTGGAAAAATTAGAAAAGCAGTTGTCCGAAAAGGAAAATTCCGAGTCAAAATGTTGTGCTGAGCTTGATGGAAAAATTAAGGATCTCGAGAGCCAAATAAAAACAGCCAAAAACCAAGCCGATGACAAAGACAAAAATTTGGAGAATAAATTAAAAGACTTCAAGGACAAGCAACAGGATCAAGAAACCCAAATGAAGGACCTAAAGAAAATCGTTGAAAATCGAGTGGAAAAAATTAAAAATTTAACACTAAAGTGTGATACAAATTGTAATCCTGAATCTGGGAAAAACAATAACCTATCCGAGTTGGAGTCTAGATTTGAAAAGCTGGAAAATCTTATATTAAATATTTCCAAAAATTATGATAAAAGCAACTCGGGGTCATCAAATGCCAATGTAATTGTAAACATCAAGGTTTGCGAAGAAAATGCCAAAACCTTACAAATAATTGAACAGCTTCTTCAAAACCTGATAAATTCCAAAACACAACCGAATAATAATGAAAGTTGCATTCAATTGAATAATTATATAAATGATCTGAATGAGCAAAAAAAGCATATAGAGGAAAAGCTGGAGAAAAGTAAAAGCTGTTGCAAGGCAATAAAAAAACTTAAGGAAAAAACTGAAAGGTTGAAAATTGAACTAAAAAACAGTGTTGAAAAATATGAAAAGCACATAAATGAAAGTGATTCTAACTATAATAAACTTAAAGATCATCTAAATGAAAAATTGGCTCAGCTGGAGGCTTTGATTAAAAATTTAACACAGGGCAACCCATCACAAAGTAATACGGATCTTTATGAGAAACTGAAGGCTATCCAAACGGAGGTGGCTAAGTCTCAGGAAACGTTGAAAGAAATTCAAAACCAACTCAAGAAATTATCCAACCCATCTAAAAATCAAACCGAAACAATCAACAAAAAGTATAATGACTTGACCGACGAGTTACTGAAGCAGCAACAGAAGTTCGACGAACTTCAAAATAAAATTGTCCTTCGAGTGGAAGCTCTAGAAAATAAAATCATTCAAGAGCACTCCAATTCGAATAATGCCAATGAGCGGTTGAAACGCCTGGAAAACCTCTATGACAGACTTCGTCAGGATCTGGATAAAGCCCAAAAGAAATTTCAAGTCCTAAATAACCTCGAACAGCTGGGTAAAGATGCCCAGAATAGGATTGTTAAGCTGGAAGAATTCGTGAATAAGTGCCGAAGCAAATGTGAGCAGCTTAATAAGTTGGACGATCTGATTGATAAAATAGAGGACTTGGAAAAGTTGGCTAAGGTTACCAGACGACCACAGAAACCAGTTTCTCCAACTCGTAAAGTCAAAATGACGAAAACAACAAGAAAAAAAACAACAAGAAACTCGTGGATAGGTGGCATCGATTATGTCACTTCAAAGATAGATTTGAATAAGACTTGGCATGATGAAAAGGTGTATAATGTAAGTCTGTCTTGGTTTGCAGATTGACTTTGATTTCCTTACTTATATATTTTTTATTTCAGATAATCAAGCCGGGAAGACCTCCGGTAAATCCCAATGAAGGGTTAAATAAAAACAACAATAAAAAAAAATATACTTCCTAATTTTTTTTTAACACATCAACCTGCCTTTTCTTTAAATGCCATTTTGAAAACGAGTAGAGTAAAAGAGTAGAGTAGAGTAATAGAATTGTTTGCAGACGTTTATAAGAACAAATATAGGTCAATCCAGTCTTTATCAAAAATAATAAATGAATTCTTATAAAGCAAAAAAAAAAATTAATTGGAACGTTTCAATAGTCCAAACGGAGGTCAAGAAAATTGACGAAGCCCTTCGAATATGTAACTCCATGGAGACAGAGATCGAAGACTGCCTAAAAAATGTAGAGGAGATGAATGAAACGTACAATGCCCCCGGGCGGTACTCCATCGACATGGAGCTCTTTCGCAAGGACTATCCACGGGCACTGAGTCCCGCAGTGACCACACCTGAAGTGCAATCGATGCAGAGCGTGAGTTTGGAGAAGGATACGCTCGGCGAAACAGTGAATGAAGCCAGGACTGCCCAGGAGCTGGACGAGTCCTATGTAGAAGTCAGGTACAAGTTCATCAAGTTGAAGCGGGAGCTCGAGGCTACAGTGGCCCACTGCCAGAGGGTGGTGGACCATTCGGTGCGCCAGAAGAAGGTCACGCACATCATGCTATGGGGATCTGAGAACAGCAAGACGCGTGTCTGCCACCACTAGGAGTTGGTAGTGAGGTCCTCTACAACACTTGACAACTATTCCATCATAGTATAAGGATGTGTTCAAAATACAAATTGTCTCGACGCTTGGCAGCTTTTATTAAAAATTACAGTCACCATTAGAACGACTTTTGGGGGCGGCCAACTTTCCAAAACTCATTTGGCTTGACATGAAAATGAGGCAAAGTTTTTATCAGTCCTTGTTTCACTTTTTCCCCCGTGTCCTTCTTCAGCGACACACCAAGTTTTGGACGACGTCCCGGTCGTCCATGATGGCGACGATGATGATGGTGTTCAGACAGTAAGAAGTAACAAGTCAGCCAGCTGCATGTTTACGGGCACGACAATGGGTACAAATACAAATACGGACATGCGAGAGAAAAATGCGGGAAATGTGAGAAATTGCCAGCGAAAAACTTGAGATAATATAATGCAAAAGTGGCCCAGGACCAGACGCAACTTTTCCATAACTTTCCAGTATGTCCTGTGTGTTTGTATTTTGCAACATAATATTTGTGCGCTCGGGCTGAACATTATTTTATTTAAGTTCCCTTAAAGGGGGAAGCCCCGCTCTTCGTTAGAGAAACAAGTAGCTGGAACAAGGACCTCTGGCTGGTCAACTGGACAGCTGCAAGGACATAAAACAGTGAAGTTTTGCATATTTAAAGTAATATCAAGGGGAAAACAAACTTTTCTTTTTCATTATTATTCCTGTTACCCATTTTTTTTCTTTATTACCCCAAGGGGTTCGGGCCAGAAGCGGCCAAGGAGCCAGGCTCTTTGGTCCATTGAATAAAGCCATCACCGAGGGTCCAGAATTGGGTTCAAAAGGTGTTCATTGAGTGAATGCTGTGGTCGCTTATATTAAAGAAAGGGGCTTAGGTTGAAGTCGGTGGAAATAGGGTAGGTAAATAGATAGTGTTTGTAAAGAATTAAAGCTTCTGGCAAGGTACCTTAAATCGATTCATTATTCTGATGACTCTCCAATGCATTCGTATCGCTAATTTATGAGAAACATTGCCCACCTTCCACCGTATATGATGACTCGCTGGTGTTCACGTTTGGATACCTAGTGTTTTTTAGAATCAAAGGATATCAGACTTGCTATTAAAAGTTTTTAACATTAAATGGTAAATAAAGGATCTGCCAATAATGGAATTTGACCTACATTGCAGAAGGTAATAGGTATAAAAGGTACTTGCCTAGAAGCCCAATACCCAGTACATTTTGGTCCTAGCATTGTAGTTATCTTTCTTGTTATTTATACACCTCTTGAGCTCTTTGCTCCATTAAACTGCGCTTTATGGTGCCTACTGCTCCTCCGCACAGCCATCGATTGATATGAGTTTCGGAATTTATTAGCGCTTTAATGGCCCATCCAGCAGGCCAGGTCTCAGAATGTGCTCGTGGTGCTGGGAGTGCTCCCCAGATTCCAAACGCCCCTCCCAAAATGCAAGTGCAATCGAAACAGAAGGCACACTCAGTGCTTGCCATAAACTGTGGCACTTTCAATTTGTGGAGAACCCCTTGCCAGGAGCCGGAAAAACAACTGGTTTTCCATTGAACTAGTCTGGGAGCATAGCAGTCAAAAATCAAAGACGAAAATGGGCCAAAACCGCTAAATTGTTTTGCACGTTTAGCCGCAAATGGAGTCTGAATTGTTAGAGTCCTTGTTATAGAGAGTGTGTGTGTTTAAGGGTATCCTGTGAGCTAGCCACCACTTCCGGCAAAGTTCATCCGGGCATCGGGCATTGGTTCGATACCATCACGAGCCACGGCAAAGTTCCCTTTTTGGTAAAGGCTCATTGTTTGTTTGGGCTTTTAGTGTTGCTGCTGGGGGAAGCCATTTAGAAAAGATTTGCCAAACAAGTTTGTTTAATTAAGATTTCCTGCGGGCCGGTTGATTGACTTTAAGTGCCAGGAACTAACCGAATTAATGAGGCAAGCCTCCAGCCTCAGGGAAGATGATCTCCCTAGACAGTGTCTGCGGAAATTTGGCCCAGAGGCTGCTCAAGGATAAATTGAAGCGGATGCTTAACTGGACTCAGGGCCGTAGCTAGCATGGGGCAGGTGGGGCGGTGCCCCAGGGCCCCCGAAGGGAAGGGGCCCCGCCGGGGCAAAAGACTTCCGTATAGGGGGCCCCAAATTTACTTGTTGCAACAGGGCCTCCGAGGCTCTAGCTACGGCCCTGACTGGACTGCTGGAAAATGTGAAAAGGTAAATACTTTAATCTATAGGTTGTTATTGTTTTTAGAAAATCCCACATATTTTTACCGGCAATCAGTAACCGCTTGACAAGTTCATCAAGGTATAGAATTCATTGAGTTATTTACTCGAGGGACTCAACTATCCTCTCGGGCTGAACATCTGAGCCGCGCCCAAAAGGGATTCCATGTTAACTGAATTAATGACACAGCCAAAAGGAAAAATTCTCCAAGTAGACAACAAACAAGAGGCATTTTTGGGAGGCAAGGCCACAGTTCATAAATATGTAGAAAGAAATCCCTTCAGAAAAGGGAAAACACGCTAAGCACTTCCGTATGAATAAATATTTAATCAATCAATTTCGACAATTTTCCTTTTTCGAGGCTCGTCAAATGCATAAACAGAATGGATACATTTTCATTTTCCGAACGATGATGATGATGGTGATGGTGATGCTGATGACGACGACGATGAGCATGAATGTGAAGCTGGAGGAGATGGAGGCTGTCGTTGAGGCATAAAACAAGTCAGACACATAAAAGTAGATTTGATTGAAATGCTAATTTTCACAGATTACCAGTGAATGAACAAAAAAAAAATGAAAGAAACTCGAATCTGGCGAAAAAATAGATGGACAGTCATTGTGAAAGGTGGCCCCTTTCAACAAAGTCACCATGAGACTGTGGAAAAACCCGGAAATAAAATTTGTTGCTTAGAAGGGCCTCTGGGAAAAATCCTTAAGAGCAACCAAATCCATTTTCTTCTCTGCATAATCATGAGATCCTTGAAAATGTTTGTTGAGTGAACATCTTCTAGCCAAATGACAGGACACTTCACAGCCGGGATGGGCCATCAGCCGCAGACCCTGTTTTGGATTCAGCCTCAGTTTCAGTTTCAATTTCGTTTTCATTTTCGGTGCGATTGATTTGCCTTGAATGCTCCTCCATCCTGGCTCTCTCCCATCACCCATCACCCAAAAGCATCACCATTTTCCACTTTCCCAGCTGCGATTATCGAAACGTTATTAGTTTGTCTGCTGGCAGTGACAGGTTACACTGAACTTGGGACTTTTCAGGGCCCAGGTGATGCTGCAAAGTGGGTGACGAGTGTGCGTGTATTTATGGCGGGCAGTGTGTTGTGATTTTGTGGCATTTTGTAATTGAATTTCATTTGATGCTCATATTGGAATTTTAATGAATCAATGTTTGTTGTGCCGAGGGAGGGGAATTGCAAATGAATTTGGTCAGACTTCAAAGCTTTTAATCGGAAATTAAATTCTGAAATTGTAAGAAGATTGTTAGAACCTATTTGAGATTTATTTTTACAGCACCTTTTAATAAAAACCCTACAAGTTTTCCAAGGCAACTATTACCATAAATCTCCAGCTAATAGAATTACTTGAATATGCTATTCAAATGCTGGTAGGTTATCTCGAGCAGCTGAGTCCTCTGAACTGCTACTGCTATTTTGTCTATTCAGATACTCAGTCAGTCAGCCGAGTGAGTTCACTCAGTCAACTCGGGCTATCACACACACAATGTGTAGTCACAACATTGAGGCAAAGTTTACTTAAGCATGAAGCTCTGGAATCTGAAGTTGTGACAAAATGCGACTCCAACCGGCAGAGGACTACATTCCTCGACTATGACAAACTGGCTCTGGAGGCAGCAGTCAGCAAAACAGAATTCAACAGATGTGGCACAAACCAGGGTCCTGGGACCAGGGCAGAAGCCGCAGCAGATGCAACATGCCACATTGCAGCAGCTGGTTGTGATAAACGCGCAGCACAATTGTTGCCGCGGAGATTCGCCAGCTGACAAAATGCTTCTGACATTTTTGCAAGTTAACAATAAAAATATTTCATATAATTTAACGCTGCTGTGTCAACAGTTTCTGGCTAGATATTTGGGTTTATACAGCCAGGACTAGGGGTAGTAAGAAAAAGGAGTTTTCTTTATTCTTGAATTGAATAATTTCCCAATTTAATGTCAAAATATTTATATAATTTTCTTTCTGTGCAACTTGTTTCAGTTTCAGCTTTTGGCAATTCTGTCACATCTTTTTACCAATAAGTCGAGCGGCAGCCGACGAACTTGAAGAATGTCCTTCCTTATTTATTGCTTTTAACATATTTGTTTGGCCCCGAGGCAATCTGTCTTTGTGGCTTCCAGGATATGTGAGTGTTTGTGTCTTTTTGTGTGTATGGCGGCAAAAGGCAAATGCAAATTTTCAGTCTCAAATTTTCCGGCTTTGTCTTTCATTTTCGGTCGCAAAGTTTCGGGCCAAAACAAAGGGCTCTGGCCAAAGTGCAGCTGCTTGGAATTGCTTCGGGTACAATTTTTGAAGGGCGGTCAATAAAAAGTTTATTGTTACCCAAAAAAAAAAAACAAAAAGGAGTCATTGTGTGATGAAAGAGCGGAAGTTCGTTTGGAAATTTTCTGTGAAAGGCCTCGAATAAATTGTAAATGGCAGCAGAACTTCTGCAAAGTGATGAAGGGGATATAAATGATGAAAAATACGATTAGGCACATCAAATATATATATTTTTGAAATTTAAAACAATGGTACATCTAGTGATTTGAGTCATAATGGCTTTTAAAACATCGAAAACTAAATTGATTTAAAATGAAAATTAGTCAGGAGTTTCCTCCGATTCCGGATAACGACGCATTCCATTGTCGCCTCCGGCCATTTTGTCTTGTTCGACTTCTGCTGCTGCTTCCTTTGCTGCAACTTTCTTCCGTAGAGCTTGCTGCATTTTGGCCATGGCCGAGGTGGCCAAACGGACACGCTTGGTAATACGATTCAGTCGCTCCTGAATACTGTTGAACATCTGCTCCGAAAACTGGGCATCCTCCGAGGTGTCCAAGGGAACCACAGAAGCCTCCACCATGCTGACCTGGCTAACGTCCTGGAGGGAATCATAGCTCACTAATTCCTGTGAGCCATCAGATCGTTTATCGCCCATTTCGAAATATTCAACAAATTATATACAATTTTTGTTTTGATGCTTGGATGTTCGTTTTAGGAACTACCAAAACAGAAGTCTGATTGAGAACTGGTTTCAGTCAGGTTCTGGTTCATAAGATCGGATAATCAAGGCCTACTTGCTGTTTTGATTTATTTTTAAGCCATCTAAGTGTATAATTGCTAGAGCTTCTTACGATAACCAAAAAGAAAAACTCATCTTCAGTACAGAAGCCTACTTGGCGGGTAATCAAGTGTGAAATGTGTCCATCATGGTCATAAAATCAGAAATCAATTAAAGCCATTTAAGAGGAAGAGGAGCAAGGATATGGATGTCGAGTGTCGAAGTTGCCAGGGTGCAAGGCAAATAAATCTCTGAAACGACTCTGCAAAGAGACGCACACACACATTCTGAACGAGGGGGAAGGATATAAAAGTTGCGCCACAGTTGAATGAAGCAAACGAAATCAAAGTCTATAACTTAACGACTGCAATGAGAATGATGGTGATGACGATGTCGACGATGTGGAACGCCCTCAAGGTCCACCCATTTGCCCGCCCATTTCCCCAGTCAGAGAGGAAAGCCCGAACCCAGAAAAAAAAGAGACAAAAGCCGAAAAAGACGGAAATGCAGCATTCATTTTCCTTTGCCCCCACCATTCTCTCACTGAGTCTGTTTTTCGCCTTCATGTGCTAAATATTTGCCAGCCATTTCTTTATTTTCCACTCGCTCTCTCCGCCAGTTTGGCCTTTGTCGCCAAACTGGATTCCCATCTTGACTTGCACACCCACCCCACCCCGGAACCCATCTCCACGCAGCCATCTCCATTTTCCACTTTGTAATAAAGCAATAAATCTGCTGTGGAACGACTCCTCTTTTATAATAAATTCCCTTACACTTAAAAACACTTACAAATGAGTTTTTGTTCAATGGAATAAATGGCATGTCTCTTTATATATCTGTATCACTGTCGCCATAGCTGCAATTGCATGTTCAAAGCTGCATCAAGTTTATATATATTGTGTAATCGCTGAATCGAGCATTGATAATGGCATTTGCCATTTGCTTTGTGGCTGAGCTTTGACTTTTGCCGACTCCTTTCATATTTTTTGTGCTTGCGCTGGTAAGTAGGCAACATTTTTGTAGTTTCTCGTTTTTCAGGCAAGAAGGCTTAAACTATTAAAGTTTCTCTGCCATCAATCTAAATTAATTAGCTTAAATATAGCCCCTTTTATAATCCCCCTTCTGGTCATTTCTTATTCCAAACAAAGACAGGCTGTTGTCTAATCTTCTGTCTAAATCACTTGCCAACATGTTGCTCAAAGTCACTCACACACATAACTAATTGATGATCTAATTGAATGTTCTTGCCCCATTTCTCAGCTGGGTTATATTCTTTTTCTGTTCAGACCCCCCCACATGGATGGGCACATCTCATATCCCATATCAAGAGAAACATCTGTCAGACCCATCACAATAAATAACCATATAGTTATAGTTGAGTTTCCTGCATTAAAATGCCATCATGCTGGAGATTAATGCGAAAAGGTCACGCCCAGCTCCTTTAGGAGGTGAAAGCCATTCACTTCAGCAACGCATTGACATTTGCTGTGGACTCTGCCTTTCCCAGAGCCGTTCCCTTGTGTTTTCGCTTTCGTTCTCGGGGTTTTTTCCTTTGTTTTTCCATTTGTTTTTGTTATTCTGGTTGTGCTGTTTCACGGCTGTTTGTTGCTGCTGCCGCAGGACCCGCCAGATGAGACACGTGACAATGTCAGGGCAAACATAAATGCCGTGTGTCAACATGCAGGTCGCAAAAAGAACTAAAGTGAAAATGTCTTTTTATCAACTTTTCGGAGAAGATCCTGACAAGCACTTGAAGAAAAAGTTTCCCGAAAATTGAAAACTTTTCTTTTAAAAAGAAACTTTAATCAGATACTGTCAGATAATTTGCAGAAATCTTAAAAAAATATATAAATAATATATTTTAATTAAAAACTTAATATTTTTGTCTATATGTTTGCTTTTTTGGGCATATTGTTTTTGTTGTAGTTTTTACATTTGTCTTAATTAGGGGGAGAGATAGAAGCCACTTGAAGAAATGTTCTTGAAGAGCCATCAGCTGCCGCTGGCATTTGGCACTGACTTGTCTGACTTTCTCCTTGCTTTCTCTTAGCCTTTCTTCTGGGGCGGGTGAACACGTGTGCGACTTAATGGCAACACTTTCGCATCCTCAGAGTCCTCGTATGCCGCTCATGTCTGTCTGTAATTTATATGGCTGCTTTAATGCCCCCCTGGCACGACCCCAACCGCCGCACCACCGCCGCCCATGCCACAGGCTTCCGTTTCTAGGAGAATTTGTTATTACGTTGAATTAAACTTGAAAAATGTGTTAATGGGCTCGTTCTGTTTCGTTCACACCAACTGCGACTCCGAACTGGCAACTTAATTAAATTCCACAATGATTCTGTTATTTTGCCATGTAGCAACAAGCTAGAAGATGCCTCGTCTTCGGGGCCAAAAACCTAAGTTGTAGCAACAATTACAAAAGATGCCAGAACATAGCGCACCACATGGCGTATGTGTGATATTTTTGTGTGCGTTTCGCTTTTGCTTTAAACGCCAGCCTGCAGACTGCGATTTCCTGCTATTCCATTTAATTTGTTGGCCTTAATGAGCTGTGAAAAGTGTTTTGTGCGAAAATTGGTAAATTGTGGCAGTCGGAGCCAACTGTGTGAGAAAATAATGATGATCAAGAAATAGGTTTGAAGTCAAGACAACCCTTTTCGGGTTTCATTTGCTAATAGCCATAAAGGATTTCTTGGAAACTTTAAGCTTTAAAACTTACAACATAAATGACCAAAAATATTTTCTGACATCCATCATTTCTTTATATTGAAATTTGTTCAGGTTTTAACTTTTGGCTGTGTCGACATGGAAATGGTTTCAATGGTAATTAAAAGTAAAACCGGCAGATTTATGTGGAACGGAAGTCCAGTAAAAAAAAAAAAACGAAACAAAAACAAGCAGAAACTTTCCACTGACCAACATGGACATATACATTTTTATATATATATATATGAACATACATATATGGACAATGGCGTTTGTATCCCTGTGGAAGATGCAACTTCAGTCGTGTGACTTGTTGCCGGAAAGGCTTTAAGCTGTAAGCCGCGTTAACTTTAATCTGATGGCAATTAGCCAAGAGAGAGAGGAAACAGGATGGTCATCGGAGCATGAAGAAACTTTAATGTGTGGAGAGTGTCTTTCGCTTTAAATTATTTATTATCGGCTTATTTCAAAATATGGTTTAACCTTGGTTAACCACTTTTACATCAACCATCGATTGCCACAAAGGAGAGGGCTTATTGCATTTTTCAAGTAGATGGTCAAGTGCAACAATTATTTACGGCCTTTCAGGGAAAAAGTCAAGGACTCGAATGCCAAATAATAAATACGTTGAGCTATAAAGTATTTTACAAATATGCCTCGGATAAACAGGCTGTTGGCACATATTAAAAAGTTGGCAATATTCCTACCCTGAGGTGGCCAAAATAAGAAAAAAACTTTGCCGAAATGCACATGGGAAAAATGCGCTCAATTTGCATTTGAATTTTGTGTTCCCATTTAGCCCTCTTTCTATTTGCATGTGTAGTTGTTACCGTATTTGTGTTTGTGTTGATGGAAACTTTTTCTAAAAGATGATAAAAAGGGTGTGGTTTTTGGTCGGGATAATGTTCATCCCAGATGACGATGATGATCCCAACGAAACGTGCGTTTGTGTAAATGAGCTAAAAAAAAAAGACTTCAGCCTTTTTCTGTTGGTTTTTGCGAAGGTTTTCTAATTTTTTTTTGTAACCCTCTTTTGCTTGTTTGTGAAGTCTAACATCAACACATGCTATTTTTTCTGCTCCTGTTTGTTTTCCTTGTTGAATGTCATTGAATGGAGTAGAATGGAATGAAAGGAGTATTTTGGAAATGCTGATACAGTTCCTGATTGTTTACCTAGCCGACTACTTTTCTTGTTTCCGTTTGCCTTGCTCTTTTTCCTTTTCTGTTCTTGGCCCAAAGAAATTGGTTATTTTGGCCGTCTATCCCATCCATCCTTTGATGCGAAATGAAAATTGTTATCCCTTTTGGTTTGTTATCATTTAATTGAGTACCAAGCCGTTGGTTTAGGAACAATTTGTTTCCTCAAAAGCCTCGCCTAATTTGCTGTAAAATAATTCACTTTCCTTTTCCACGCCCGCTGCTCGGACATTTAAATTGAATTAAAAGTTTTCCGTTGACAGCCGGAGAGTCCTAGCTTGATGATTTATCATCTGGGCCCGGGGCAAAAGTTTCATTAAGAAAATAAGAAGAACCCGAAAAGGTCACCTCCTCTGATTTCGGGGAAAACTAGTTCGCCAGGCGAGACACGCACTTCAGCCCCAAAAACTTGTGACTTTTTGTCGTTTTTTTCGACTTTCCTTCTATATGCTTCTGTGAACTTTAACTTTTTATATATAAATACATATTTTTTTTTTTTGGGTAGCCGGATGACACTTTATCATGTCTCGGCCGGACCCAGCTTGCCCGGAGCGCACAAATTGAAATGTGCCAGCATCAGTCGGAGTAAATGAGGCAAAACGCAGCCGCAAACCCAGCGGGAAGTAATTGTGTGTGCCCCTGAAGCCTACAACAAAAATGATTCCTCCCCTTGGAGGCCAAGACCACATGGTCTATTAGGCTGAGCAAAGACTGAAAAAATTTCTCGATTTTCAACTTTTCCCTTTGGTTTTCACTTTTTTTTTCTCTCATTTGGTATTTGACTTTTGTATGTCTGGGATTGACAAATATTTAGCCAAAGTGATTTTTGACAGCATCATAATAAAGGCTGCTTGGGTGCCCAAGGAATACTTCATGCTTCGTTTGAGCGTAATTCGGAATTGACCCCAAAAGCAAGGTCGGCCCATGCGGCGTATGCGCAATTTGCTACCAAAATCTAGACAAAGTGCCGGCAATTGAATTGGAATTGCTGGAAAATGTGGCAGCAATGCTCTCTAGAGTCTAAATATTTGCTTAGGATCTGCGGTTAACAGCGGTGAGGGTCAATCATTTTAATCCATTTAGATTGGCGTAAGGAGCAGGGCTGGAAATATACTAGGCGTACTGTTTTTTTTCCCAATTACCAAAATAAAGAAACCTTAACTTCACTAAAAATTTTGTTTTTATTTTTTTTTATGATTTTTTTCTTTTTTAAAGTTTTACAATACTGATAATTTAGGTAATGGATGGTGTGTGTCCTTTAGTATTTAAATCCTCAGTGTCTATGTATGTGCTAATTATTGCGGATTGTTTATCTGAATTTTTTTGAACTTTTAAATTTTGAATATTTAATTTTTTTTTATGATTTTTTTCTTTTTGAAATTTTTACGATATTGATAACTAAGGTAGTGTATGTGTTCTTGAGTATTTTAATTCGAACTATCAACGTATGTAATGATTATTGTAGATTGTTTATCTGAATTTTAAAATTTTTTTTTAACTTTAAATTTTGAATTTTTTTTTATAATTTTTTTCTTTTTGAAATTTTTACATTATTGATAATTTTGATTTTTTTTTTAAATTTTAAATTTTTAATTTTTTTTTTGATTTTTTTTTGGCTCTATATTATCTATTTTTATTTTGTTTCGGCTGAAAAATTAATCTCGTTGTGTATGTGTTCATGAGTCTGTGAATTCCTAATATCGTTTATATTAGGTAGTGTATGTGTATGTACTCATATGCGGAGTCCGCATTGCTTATATCCAGAGTCCGGACCATACTAATATCCGGAACAAAAAAAAATATTAAAAAATATATAACTTTGTGCAAGAGGTGCAAACTAAAAAAAAGTGTGATAGGTGTTGTGAGGTGTGAATTAAAAATTCACAAAGTCCAGCTCCCTTTTGAGCCGGAGTAAAAGTTGCAATTTCTTCATCTCGTTGTCGTATTTCGCTCTGCACCGATCCACATCCACAGGATGTGGCAGCGGCAAGCGCAGGCGATACAAACAAGTTCTCAAGTCCAGTTCAGTTTCTTGCAGGTCGAGTTGCATTTTATCCGCAGACATTTCCTCGTCCGGCAATGAAATCTCGAGGACCAGATCTTCACAGCTAGCCGACGATCCAGTTCGATTACCCATCTAAAAGGATAACAGGGTTACACCTGAAAAGGATATGTCTCGGAAGCATATCTACCTGCAGGAAAACATCTTCCGTTCCCACTGCCTGACGATATGTCATCGTATATTCAGGTGTTTTTCTCGATTCTAGGATATCATTATCTTCTCGTTCCTGTTGTTCCTGCCACTGCTCCAGCGTCTCCGGCTGCTTCTTTTCTTCCTCAACCAAGGGGGTGATGTATGGATTGGCCTTCTTTTTGCTTTTCGTCTTGCCAGGAGCGGACCCAGTTTTGGGAGGCCCGATTCCGCCGGGGTCTAAGTTCGTCAATTAGCATAACTTCTAGGACCGTCAGGCATTCAGGTTCACTATTCACTTACTCAGTTTATGAACCACCATGGACTCGTCCTCATCCTCACTGCTACTACAATCGATGCCACCACGCCGCCTTTGACATGGATTCAGGAGGTTTTGTAGAGCACGCAGTTGCTCCGGATTATCAAAGATAGACATTTTAAATGAGGCAGAGGAAGGACACAGTTCACAGAATTTAGTTTTTTTTTGAAAACTTATTCAAAATTAAACTTTTTTAGACGATTAAATATTTTTAAATATTTAATAAATATTTTAAAATATTTCAGACTTTTTCTGGAGCTACTGATGTTAACAGCTCGACGCTTTACGATAGATTGATGAAAATCTGGGACTAGACTTGGTACCTAAACTTTTCAAACTTGACATTCAATTCCAAGGCTAACTTCGATCTATTGGACATTTTTTCAGGGACTACTTCTCTTTGAATAATTTTTGTCGATAATTACAAACTTTTAGTTATACTTCCTAAGCTTTTTTAAAATGTTTTCAGTGCTGTTACCTTAGAAATATTATTTATTTTGTTACCTTAGCAACTACCAAACATCCGATATGGAAAATTCTAGAGCTGGGCTTTTTTCCTTCCAGAGTAAATGAGAAGGGTTGAGGGATCCAGCTGCCTAGCGACCCTATTCAGTATTACTTGCCCGCCCACGGCGACAATTCACTCTCAACTGGTCGGCAAACTATGGGCCCCACTTTAGGCATTTCAATTAAAAACTTGGGTTGCCTCGGCGCTTGCCCATTTAGTGGAAAACTTTTTGCCCGAGAACCAAACTGTGCTCGAACAAAAATATTTCACTTGTCAGAAACAATTGTTTTGCGAATTATAAATTGTGTAATTATTGTTCTAGGCTTGACCTTCTCTCCTGGTCAGGGCCAGCACGAATTATGAACAACGAAACAAAAATGTACCATCAGACCAGACCAGACCAGGCCAGGCCAGAACTGAGCAGAAATTTGCATTTTTCACGCGCTCTGAAAGTGGTGAAGGGAAACGCTAATTTGACTTTTAGCCACCAGGGGTAGGGGTTGGAGATGGCCAAAGGGTACTGGCGAGTACTAAGGGGGAAGAAACATGAAAACGTGGCCGAGTTAACAACATGATGCTGGCTCAGTTACAATAGCCAGGACCACAGCGGGATCCCAGTTTGGCATTCGACAAAAAGGATTCTCAGTTTTGTGCTGCTCTTGTCCCGGTTACGTGTTTAATTTGTTTAACACGGACGGTTGGCAAAAAAAAACCGGAAAGTAGAAAACCTTTACCAGCTCGCTTGAAAAGAGGATTTTGGGCTCTTGTTCTGGTTCAATGCCAACCACTTGACAGCTCAGACCAGGGCTTAAACCCACCACAGGCCATGGCTTTGTCATTTGCAGCTTGAATAAACGTGGCCATATCTCAGGCTCAAGTTTTTTTAATAAAAAGCCATCGAGAACGAAGGCTTCCTCTAAATAAATATCTGATGTTGTTCGTTATATGATTTGTTTACTTTACGATAAGTGGATTTAATAAAGTGTCTTGTTTTATATCTTTGATCTTTGAGACATGACTTATGACACATGAAATTTGCTTATAATTTATTGCCATCATAAAATCTTTTTGAATTTTTGAATTAATTGGAATAAGAATAATTAATTGAAATCCTCTTCTGATAATCTGAAATAAATCTGACAAAATCTCTGCCATATATTCAGTTCCCTTAAAAGCTAACCAAACATCACGTATCTGAACTTTCACCTTTAGCCAGCAATGCAACATGGAGGATACTGTGATATCGAAATGCACCCCAGGACATATCATCCGATGGCAGTTGCCTCTGGCCCCTCCATCCTGGCATCACGCATCCAGACAATGAACATGAATCCATGGTGTAATTGTATTTCGCTTGTCGCACACATTTCAATGAACTGCACATGGTGGAGGACCACCCGAGTAGAGCTCCCGAAAAACCAAAAAACCTCCTTTTTTCAACCAAAAAAAAAAGGCTACGCAAATTTGTGTTGACTGAATACACAAGAACGTCTGTCCCAGCTAAAATCCCGTATCCGTGCAGACCCCTCTTTAGCCCCAAAACCCCAAGGCCATTGCCAAATAGATTTTTGTTTTAGTCACACATGCCGGATGGGTGGCCGAAGGAGGAGTGGCGACCGGGATGTGAGGGACAGGAGGAGCAGCCGCTGCAACGAGGGTAAAAGTGAAAGCGTTTTCCGCATTGTGTTGGCAGCTGGGACGTGTCCTTCTGCCCAACTCACCACCCTCCACCCAGTGTGATTTGTGTGCGTGTGCTCCCCTCCAGCGGTCTCTCAACGTTTTTCTTTCTTGTCTGCTGTTTTTCAACAAGATATTATTATTATTTTTCGGTTGTAACATAAAATGTAATTAAGAAGGCATTAAGTAGCGTGCATAAATCATTGAGCCACATGTGCAGATGGGCCCCACCTGGCGGTGGCGCTGGGTAACTGGTTTGAGTTATGTAACCGATTCCCAGTTGCTAGGCAAACGCGGCAAAGACGCGGTGGCCAGTTGGGAGAAGAGAAAGCTTCGACCAAGTTCCCTCTGGCCCGTCATAGATCTGGGTCTACGATTGCATTCTTTTTTTTCCCTAGGCGACACACTGGCGCACCATTTTTTTTGGCCATTTATTTATATATTTTTTTTCGCTCGTTTTATTTTTGCAAGCTTGTCTGAAAATTGCCAATGCACTTGGAAAAACTTTAAAAAAATATGGTAAACCTAGGGAAAAGTTTAGCAATAAATGCACATACTTTGGTGTATGTGGGATCCTTAAACTTTCTTCAAAACACTATTAGCCAATATTTTTCCCATCATATTTGGTAAAAACATTTGTTTATTTTGTTCTGTGTTTGTGTTTAAAATAAATGCGCCTAGTCCTGGCTAAATAATTCCTAGTCCAAAAAGAACATGGCCACAAAGCCAAAATGGGGGAAAACAGGATGAGCAAGATGTGCAGTCAAGCGAGCCAGGAGCAGGAGCATAAAAATAAAACTAACATCGCTATAGCTATCTCTTTTATTTTTGTTTACCTCCCTCTTTCTCACACACTCTCGGCATACACGGCGGCTAAGCAATGCCAACAAACCAAAAAGGCGCGCAACTTTAGACGGTGGCGACTTTAAAGTTCACTGGACCACGAAATGGTCACTAAAGCAACAAAGCCAAAAACAAAATATGACAAATCCTAGCAGGACACACCGCAAACAAAATTAAGCCAAAATCCCCCAATGGCTTAAACTGGACCAAAAACCGGATTTCGACTTGGAGTCAATTGGCAAGCATGGCTGAAATGTCACTCAAGAGACAAATGAGTTGCTAAAACGTGGCCAAGAAGGAGAGAAAACGGCTGAGAGAGCCAAGAGCTGCAGCTTTTGCCGGTTGTTTGTAAACAAAGTGAAAGCTTTCGAATCAGCTGTTCAAAGAGAAAGCCCTTGAAAACCGTGGAATTTTGAAAAATGCATGGAAAACCCCACATGGCCGGCAGAGAAGGCTATTTCTCAGCCGAAAACGATCCGATTCTCAAGCGCGATACTAGAAACTATTTGTAGATCGATTCTCCATAAATCTGCATCTCAATCTAACAGCGAATTTTTTTTCAGATTTTTTGTCAAATTTTCTGGGGGGTCCCCTTCAAAATGTTGGACAGTTCATGAATGGCCAATACGACCCACTGGAAAAGGCATATCTTAGCTGAAAATCATCCGATTCTCAAGCGGGATACTTTAAACGATTTTTAGGTCGATTCTCTATGAATTTGCATCAAAATCTAGCAGCGAATTTTTTTTCAGATTTTTTGTCAATTTTTCTGGGGGGTCCCCTTCAAATTGTTGGAGAAGCCAATAATGGCCAATACGATCCACTAAAAAATACATATCTCAGCCGAAAATCATCCGATTCTCAAGCGGGATACTTTAAACGATTTGTAGATCGATTCTCTATGAATTTGCATCAAAATCTAGCAGCGAATTTTTTTTCAAATTTTTTGTCAATTTTTCTGGGGGTCCCCTTCAAAATGTTAGAAAGTTTATGAATGGCCAACACGACCCACTGGGAAGGACATATCTTAGCCGAAAATCATCCGATTCTCAAGCGGGATACTTTAAACGATTTGTAGATCGATTCTCTATGAATTTGCATCAAAATCTAGCAGCGATATTTTTTTCAGATTTTTAGTCAATTTTTCTGGGGGGTCCCCTTCAAAATGTTGAAGAAGCCATTAATGGCCAATACGACCCACTGGAAAAGGCATATCTTAGCTGAAAATCATCCGATTCTCAAGCGGGATACTTTAAACGATTTTTAGGTCGATTCTCTATGAATTTGCATCAAAATCTAGCAGCGAATTTTTTTTCAGATTTTTTGTCAATTTTTCTGGGGGGTCCTTCAAAATGTTGAAGAAGCCATTAATGGCCAATACGACCCACTGGAAAAGGCATATCTTAGCTGAAAATCATCCGATTCTCAAGCAGGATACTTTAAACGATTTGTAGATCGATTCTCTATGAATTTGCATCAAAATCTAGCAGCAAATTTTTTTTCAGATTTTTTGTCAATTTTTCTGGGGGTCCCCTTCAAAATGTTAGAAAGTTTATGAATGGCCAACACGACCCACTGGAAAAGGCATATCTTAGCTGAAAATCATCCGATTCTCAAGCGGGATACTTTAAACGATTTGTAGATCGATTATCCATAAATCTGCATCAAAATCTAGCAGCGAATTTTTTTTCAGATTTTTTGTCAAATTTTCTGGGGGGTTCCAGACTTTAAAATCCTAAACTTTTTTTTTTAATATAAAATCTTAAACATGTTTGGAGTCGGAGTCTATTTTTTGTTAATTGATGTATGTTAATGCATTTAAATAATAATACCCAATCAATATATATCAGCTAATTAAATCACCTCATTTTGAACAATTAAACAGTTAAGCTTCCAACGAAAGTGAAAATGGAAATTGTAGAAACAGAGCATAGCGTCCACTAACCCCATTTGGAAATGACTCCTCATTAAGTGGTTATAAAATAACTCCCCGTCACAGTTGGACCGCACCCAAGCGATTAATTTAATTATCTAATACTCTGATACATATATATATTATAAAATGAAAAACGGAATATTTATAAATTTTCATGCGACACTTCGTGCTGGGCTTGATCCAATTTCG